ATCAATAAAGAAATTAGAAACTGTCTCTGGCTCTAATGTGCCCAGGCGTACATTCTGAAGTTTCTTGTCTTTTTGAAGCCCGTGGTATTTATAGTCTTTTGAAATACCAACAGGTATTCAAAACCAAATGTTTGAAAATCCCATAATTACACACGTACAATGGATTTAGCTTGGGGAAGTGAAACCTTGCTGCATTTTCTTATGCTATATTTTATATCTTAACTCTGAATTTCAGCATTGACTATTGCCTGAAAAATCTCTCCACACTCCTCTGTTAAATTCACTGTCTAGCTCTCACTAAGCAACTATTTCACCCATCATCGTGCATCGGTCTTCCAACCAATTTGCCTTCTGTTTCATCCAATTTGACTTCTTTCAAATTTCACCAACATTTTGGATCAGAAAAAAAAAACAACTCACTCACTTCATAAACCAACCACCCTTGGATTTGTTTTCAATTGCTGCTTTAACAAATTACCCTAGATTCAGTGGCTTAAAGCAATACGATGATTACTTCTATGCTTTGTGTGGTAAGAAGTCTAGGAGCAGAATGGCACAGGCGATTCTGTGGAGAGTCCTATGAGACTGGAGTCAATTTATTAGCTGTGCTGCATGGCTTCCTGAAGCCTTAAGGATAAATTTGCTTCTCAGTTATTATCAGCTTTCAGCTCCATGAGATTTTTATGACTGTGATCTCCATTTCTTTGCACTTTCAACCAGGAATCCTTTTCAGATATGACTTAGTTAGTATCACCATTATCTTGTCTCAGAAGCCAACAATGGCAAGTCAAGTTCTCCTCACCCATCCTCACCTCTGCCTCACCTGTTCTGATTTTCTTTGTGATAGATGTCTCCAAATCCTGTGCCTTTTTCTCTAGTACGTACAAATACCATGTGGTTACATGGATATCACCTGGATAATCCAGGCTAATATCCCTAGTCTATCAGTAACTATGATTTCATCTACAAATTCATCTTTTCTTTCCTTTTTCTCTCTACCTCGCCTTCCCTCCTTCCCTCCCTCCTTCCTTCGTTCTTCCCTCCCTCCCTTCCTTCCTTCCCTCCCTCCCTTCCTCCCTCCTTCTTTCCTTCCTTCCTTCCTTCTTTCCTTCTTTCCTTCCTTCCATCCTTCCTTCCTTTCTTCCTTCCCCTCTTTCCTTCCTTTCTTTCCTTTTCATTTTGCTCTCTTTCCCTCCCCTTTTTCCCCTCTCTCATTCCCTCTCCCTTCCCTCTGCTCCCTCCCTTCTGCTCTCTCCCTCCTGCTCCCTTCCTTCTTCCTTCTTTTTTTGTCTTTTATTATGGTGTCAGCAATCAAACTAGTGCCTATACCCTGGCCTCTGTCACTGTGCTTCTTTCCGGTCTCTTATTCCACTTTAACTGAATCCATCAGGGAATAGAAATCTTTAAGATACATCTTCATTGTCTTCCATTTACCAACAGCATATACTTACTTTCCACTTATTACAACACACGAAGCGCCCTTGCCCCATCTAAAAACTACCCTTCAATTGTGTATTGAATGCTATTACTTCCTCCTTATCTTAGGCTCCTTTGCTGAAGACTTCTACATGCTAGAAGACCCTGGACTCCACTCGAAGTTTTGTTTATCTCCTCTTCCCTAAGATTCCATATACCACACTATCAATACAAGTCTCCTAGAGTCTCCTAGCTTCATATTTCAAATTTTCCAGATACGTAGCATTTTATGTGGTATTACTTATGTCCAAATTAGAACTCTTGTGTTTCTGGAATAATGTTCTTTCTATTATATTTAAGTAATTGCACAAAGGGTTTCAATTCAACATGTCAATTTATGAGTACTATGCAGCTGATCAATGTCATTCTGTCCACATTCTAATTAGAAGTCTTGATGGGGAGAATGGTATCAGGAAGTTGATAGAGGAGGAAGTTCTGTGTTCATATTGTTGCACAAATCAGTATAAGTCCACAGCCATCTACAAGTAAACATTCTTTTGTGCAAACTTTGGGATTCACAAAGGAAACAATCAAAGCAACTTCATTTAGATCCCAACTTTAATTATGAAAGGTAAAAAAAAACTATCAAAAACTCATCTTCAAATAAAAAGTTCAATATTAGAGGCTTTTATTCTCATTGAAAAATATTATTATTCAAGCTTTCTTCATATTTTATAGTAATGATCTTTTCATTTTTCCCATTGAATTACTGGTTGCCATTGGATTACAATGAATATATTTGCATGTTTTACAAAATATTTCATATTGAACCATTGTTTTCCCTCTGGGATTATTTTTCTTAGGAATAATCGTTCATAAATTATCCTCATCCTAATTTAGTCAAAGTATTTTCTTCAAATGCTTTTAGGACTATTAAATGTTTCTCATACCCTTGACAAATATGCTCTAATTTAATATGGTGTGTTGGGCTAATTGTCAAACTTGAATTTAGTTACTTGTTTTTGACTTCTACTCAAATATCTTAGGCCACACTAATTTTCACTTCTTATCTATGTCACATAGAACTCTGAGCACTGGCACTAGTTTATGACAGATTCTGATGTGTGTGTGTGTGTGTGTGTGTGTGTGTGTGTGTGTATGTGTGTATGAGTATTTCTTTTAATATCGTTTAGTAATATTGATATTCATTCTTTACTAAATTTTATCAAGGACCCTGCACTCATTAGTATGGGAATAATTGTTGGAAAGTAAATTAATTCTTACTATACAATTGGCAATTTCACGCACTTGCACAATTTCCCTTTTTAAGTTTTCAGTACTTGGGAATACTTTCTTGCATTTAAATTGTGTTACCAACTGCTGGTTTAACTCAGAATTTAGCTTAGAACAACATTTGGAAAGCCATGAACGGGGTTTTTATTTTGTTCCTACCTCAAATAAAACCAAACAAAATATCATCTCTTCTTAGAAAGAATAGCTATTGTTTTAACAAACACAGAAATAAAGTCTGAAAGAATTCTTTGAATGCTATAAAATGTTATGAACCCCATTTCAGAAAATAACGTGAAATAAAATTTAAATCCAGGATAAAATCACAAAGCAGGTAAATAAATTTGGTGTATTTCTCTTAAAAGAGCGATACAAATAGTGATACAGATAACCCTGCCTCGGTGGGTACTGCCATTTAGACATGGGTAGCACACCTCTACCATCAAATCTCAACTTTACCTTTTATAACCTACTATCGAACATCATGGCGATTGTGCCATAGGATCAGGCAGATTTGTGGGACCAATAATTTATTTCTATGGGGAAAAGCGGTTCTCACATCCCCCACACAAATTAATTGATCTCTTAGTCCTTTACTCTTTCATTTTTGTAGCTTATTTCTTCTTTTCTTCCATAGAAAAATATCCATAATCTTAGTTTCTTTACTGGGTAATGCTTTTCTGATAGCTTCTCTAATGAAACAATGATACCACAATTGCACAACTGGGACTAAGATGAAGTAGTAGAGATTGATTTCTCTGATTGAGAATTTCATCAGTATAAATAGAGCTCCTTTTATCATTCCCATATTATGACCTTTTGAAAATTTCTTATTCCGTAAAGAAAACATCTGCACAGGTTTCTAATAACATTTATTATTGACACAGTAAATGTGTGTTTTATTCATCTCAACAGACTTTCTCATTTACATTTTGTCCGTGTTTTCACACTGAATAATAGATCTTTTTAATTTCTTTCTTATTAATAGTTACAAGTAGCAGATTTAAACATGCTTATAAGAATTGTTTTTTCCAACAAATTGTTTAAATAGGGATACAGGTGGACTCATTGCAACAATGAGAAGTACAAGATGTTATGTCGAAAAACCAACTTTACAACTTTGGCGAGGGGTCAGGGAAGATGGGAAGGGATGGGAAGGGAAACAAAGGAGGAGGCAACAATGCTTGATAAGAAATGTACTCATTATCTTGCTCATGTAATTGTAATCCCTCTGTACAGTATTTTCTCAATAAAAAAAGATTTTTTTCCTTCTTAGAGTGACGTATTCTTTATCTATTTTGAATATTTCAGAAACAATTAAGCTATATTTTCTTTAAAAAGAAAGGCATTGTTCCTTCACACATATGTATAAATTTATGTAAACCTCTTTTATTCTTGTTTTAATTTGACAACTATTTTTTGCCAGTCCTGTGCACTCAGGGCCTGTGCACTAAACTTCTTTTTTTGCTCAAGGCTATCACTCTACCACTTGAGCCATAGTGCCACTTCTGGCTTTTTCAGTGTATGTGGTACTGAACCCAGGGCTTCATGCATGCTAGGTGAGCACTCTACCACTCAGCCACATTCTCAGCCCTAATTTGAAAAGTTTTAAGGATCTTCAGAGCTACTTAAGGAACAACTCTTCTATTTATTTCTCTTATATAATTACTCTTGTTGGCTGCAAAAGGAATAAAGCGTGTAAGCTTATTCTTATGTGCTTAGGGAGGTTAATTGCAAATCAGAGATTAGAATGACAGCTCATCCCATCTGAAAAATTGTATTTTATGAGTTGTAAAGACTTAAAATCTAGGTAGTTCAAAACCTGGGTTCTCAGTTGGTATGTTTTATCCAAGATATTCAAACTCAGTACCAGAAGTGAGTCATAAGACAAATTATCTAATTTGGGAAAAGAATGAAAGCTAATGATAGAAAAGCTGAACATGATGCAAGAGGAAGTCAGGTTGCACGTAGGAATTGAGTTAGGTTATGATGAAACACAGTTGTAGCTTTGAAGTTTTGGTAGTAATTACCTTCTATGAAGAGTGAAGAGTCCCCTTAAGACCTGCAGATCAAACAATTAAATAAAAGAAATCATATATCCATGGCATTAAAACCAAAAAGAAACACTCAGGTTATAAATCAAAAGCATAGTTGGGATGTTTCCCACCTTCTTAAGAGAGCAATAGAATGAGAAATAGCTATAGGGGAGGGTGACAAACACCCCATGCGAGTATAAAAGTCCAGGTGCAAATGGCAGCATTCATTCTCAAGAAACTCACCTTCAACATCACACAATGAGCTACTACTACAGCAACTACTATGGTGGCCTTGGTGGCTTTGGTGGCCTGGGCTATGGCTATGGTTCCAGCTACGGCCTTGGGGGCTATGGTGGTTATGGATATGGCTACTATCGCCCCTCTTTCTATGGCAGATACTGGTCCTCTGGATTTTACTGAAAAGATGACTGTCTGTGATCATCCGTTTCTTGATTATAATTTAACACCAAAACTACTCAGACTCCAACTTGGTGCCGTCAGCAGGAAGATTTCTTCATTTTATATTCTGTGATATTTTTGCACATGTTATTCTAATAAACATACTTTTTGAATATTCCAAATCTTGTTTCCTTGTTATTTGTGCTGCCCAAATTTTTTGATTCATACATTTACATGTTTAAATAATATATTATTAAAAGACTATTCCCCTCATGAAATTAAGCCCCACTGCAGTGCAACCATAATGAGTCTGGACTAGCAGCCCCATTGGGGTCACAGAATCATTAGGATAAAGAATTGAAAGTCAGACAGGCTAGAAGGTCAGAAGGGCTGAAACAGACCACGGCTTGTTCTCAAGATACTTCCTTACAAATTCTAGAGTGATTCTTGGAAGAAAAAGGAGAGCACTAGATTTAACGAAGGACGCTGTCATGAACTGATAACAATGGACTGACTAAAAGAGGAAATTCATTTTGAATTTTAAAAAATCAAGTTATTTAAGCTGGGTGCCAGTGGTTCACGCCTGTAATCCTAGCTACTCAGGAGGCTGAGATCGGAGGATCCTGGTTCAACGCCAGCCTGGGCAGGAAAAATACTTCCAAATAACCACCACAAAACTGGAAGTGGAGTTGTGGCTCAAGTGGTAGAGTGCTAGCCTTGAGCTGAAGAGCTCAGGGACAGTGGCCAGGCCCAGAGTTCAAGCCTTACATCTCTCTCTCTCTCTCTCTCTCTCTCTCTCTCTCTCTCTCTCTCTCACACACACACACACACACACACACACACAAAGTTATTTAAAATATTTATATTTGTATTTCATGTTTATGGTATTTAATGAATTTCCAAATGATTACATGTGTGTAGGTATATGAGTCCTTGCTGGGGCTTGAACTCATGACATAGGTGCTATCCCTTAGCTTTATCATTCACGATTAGCATTCTTACCATTTGAGCCACAGCTCTATTTCTAGCTTTTTTTGTGTGTGTGTGTCTGGTCGTGGGGTCTGAACTCTGGGCCTGGGCACCGTCCCTCAGCTCTTCAGCTCAAGGCTAGCGGTCTACCACTTGAGCCACAGCGCCACTTCTGGCTTTTTTCTTTTTGCTTATTGGTGCTAAGGAATCAAACCCAGGGCCTCAGGCATGCAAGGCAAGGGCTCTACCACTGAGCCATCTTCCCAGCCCTATTTCTAGCTTTTTTGATGGTTAGTTGGATATAAAAGTTTCCAACTTCCTGTTTCCTTCCCAGGGCGGCTTCAAAGTGCAATTCTCAGTTTTCAGTTAAGATTTTTATAGACATGAGCCACCAGCAACTAGCTATGAATACATTTTCAAAGTGCACTTATTTCTTAATATTTTAATCTAGTTTTTCCATATCTGTTCAGTCGAAACATCTCAGGAAATAGCATTTCAAAATTATGGGCAGCTGAGGAGGCTTTGACTTAGGGGTGGTAGAGACTTCATTAAGCTGGAATTTGAACCAATCTGTTTTTTTTTATTTGTTTGCTAATTATGTAAAGCAGCCTTTCCACACATTCTGCTCTCAAGTACTATTAAATCACAAATTTATGCACCTAATGGTTTCAGTTTTTCTCTTTTAAGAGATTATAAAGGGAATATATGGTAAATGTAATGGAGTTCAGCATATATACTAAAATGTTTATGCAAGTTATAAGTATTTTATATAACTTAAAAAGACAGATGGTATTCTGTTCTCTATCTAATATGTAGTAATTTTATTAGTTTTAAATGTTATGTTTTGATAGTAAAGAGTATTTAACTATACTTTTTATATATAGTTCTTTATCCATACATATCCATATCCATATTTGATTTTTTATTAGTAATTTATTGTGAAAATTCTGTACAGAGGGGTTACAGTTACATGAACAAGGGGATGAGTACATTTCTTATCAACCATTGTTGCCTCCAATCTTATTTTATGTCCAATATTTCCTAGTTATTCTTTTTCTTATAGAGCTGCCTGACGGCAGTCCTTCTTGTCACTAATCTTTCCTTTGTAAATCTCTCACATGATAAGATGCTTTCCAAAACCTTAACTTAAAAATTAGCCATGTCCTCTAGGATCTCTCTCCCTCTCTCTCTCTTCTCTCTCCCTCTCCACACACACACACACACACACACACACACACACACACACACACACACACACACATATCTTCATATATCTACATATATATATATATATATATATATATATATATATAAATCTTTCTCAGTATCTGCCGACCTTTAACAGACACCACTGCACACATGCTGCTGGGTCACTGATACACTTCTCTTTTATTTATTTATTTATTTACCACAGTTTATAGTTTTATGGTGGTATTCCTTTCTCCCATCTCTTCCTAAACTCCTACTCTCCAGATGCTACTCAGTTCTCTTTTGTTTGCATGTGTGTGTGTGTGTGTGTATGTGTGTGTATGGTGTGTGTGTTTCTTCAATATGTATTGATTTTGAAAGAAGTGTCATTACTTAGTTTACTAGTATTTAACTGGTCTATATTCTTTGTTGTTGTTGTTATTGTGGAAATATTATACAGAGGGGTTACAATTACATGGGCAAGATAATGAGTACATTTCTTTTTTTTTTTTTGTGAACACACTGTACAGATGGGTTACAATTACATGGGCAGGTTAATGGGTATATTTCTTATCAAGCATTGCAGCCTCCTCCTTTGTTTACTCTTCACATCCCTTCCCAGCCTCCCCCCCAATCCTCCCTGCCTTCTCCCCCCCTCCCCCCCACCAACATTGTAAAGCTCGTTTTGGACATGACAACTTGTACTTCTCATTGTTGCAACAGGTCCACCTGTATCCTTAAACGACTTGTTTTTCCCCATCTCCTCTACAAGTTATACTGACATCAAATATAGTGAAAGCAGGGGTTATACTGTGGGGGAGGGACATACAAAGCTACAAAGAGATAATCTTATAAATGCGTTAGAAATAAATGCATGAAAGGAAAAAACATTAAACTACATATCTAAGGGTTCATTTTCCTGACATCACATTATCTGACCTTTTCCACTTGACAATGAGTACATTTCTTATCAAGCATGTGGCCTCCTCCTTTGTTTCCCCCTTCCCATCCCTTCTCATCTCCCCCACCACACACACCCTTCCCCTGACCAGAGTTGTAAAGTTCGTTTTTTGACATAACGTCTTGTACATCTCATTGTTGCAATGGGTCCACCTGTATCCTTATTTAAACAATTTGTTTTTGCCCTTCCCCTCCACAAATTATACCAACATCAAATACAATGAAAACAGGGGTTATACTGTGGGGGAGGGACATACAAAGCAACAAAGAAATCATCTTATAAATACGTGAGACACAGTGGCAAGGAAGAAAAAACATTTGAATACTTATCTTGGGGTTCATTTCGCCTAACATCAACTTATCTGACCTTTTCTGCTTGTCTCAGACATATACTAGTTATTACAAATAAGGAAACCATGGGACCTATGTTTCTTTGAGCCTGGCTTACTTCACTTAATATAATTTTTAATTCTATGCCTCCATCAGAAAGAATGACATTGCCCCATTTGTTAGGAAATGGTCTATATTCTTAGTGCATAAAAATATAGGAATGTACTTATATAAAAACACATATGCACGCACACACACACACACAAGTTCTAAAAATTTCTAAGTCCAGAGAATAAGTATTTGTGTACAAACAACTTACCATCCATTTGACCAAATGTAAAACAATGTTGTTCATACATTATATACATTCAGCCAAAAACTGATTTCAAAAATTTTACTCTCTCATTCCTTTGGAGCGTAATGTTACAGTGTTTTATCTGGCATACCTATTATTTTTCTCTATTACCTAAGAATTTAACTTTTAAAGTAATAGTTTTCAAAACATGTGTACAAAACTAAACGTATAGTCACTGTAAAAAAAAAAAAAAAAAAGGGGGGCTGGGTGTCCGTGGCTAGCTGTAATCCTAGCTATTTGGAGGCTGAGATCTGAGGGTTGTGGTTCAAAGTCAGCCTGGGTAGGAAAGTCTGTGAGACTCTTATCTTCAGTAAACCACCAGAAAACCAGAAGTGGTGCTGTGGCTCAAGTGGTAGAATGCTTGCTTTGAGCTGAAGAGCTGAGGGACAGCGCCCTGGCAGAGTTCAAGCTCCATAATACAGACACACACATGCTCCCTCCCCCCTCCCCCCAAACACAAGGCATTATGTGAATCCTCAAGTCCATAACTTCTAACTGCTGGCATTCATCTAAGGAATTCAGCAGATATGTGGATTTCTCCTGTGATTTTCCATACATGATAAGCTTCCCAGATAGGTAACAGGACCTTACAACTGTCAGGGTCTACCTTAGCACCTGAGCAGTCACACAGCTTTTAGAGCGCCAGCAGCTAATGTCTGACACAAGGCCATTGTCATTGCTCAACATGAGTCTCCATGAAAGGCAATCTACTATCAGGAGCATCTGCTGGCCAGGGGAGATTGTTTATGGACATCGTTAGGGACTCAAGACTTGACTGCTCACTTCCTTCACCTTCTTGAGGTTCTTGCGGGTACCCCCTCTAACTTTACCTCAGCGTCTGAGTCACAGAGAACTAACATGTAATATAGGGATAGGGTGAAGTAAAGAAATAAAAGAACAAAGGATTCAACCAGTAGATGTCAGTGGACAAGGAATGGAGGATAGTATAGGAAGTTGCTGGGCGAGCAACACAGGACAACACAGGAAGTCCAGCTTTATCTGAAGTATCTTTTCCTATGGATACAATTATCCATGTGGTCCAAAAATGATTATCTTTGTCTTGACTCTTTCAAGAGAGTGATCATATTCATACCAATTTTATAAAAGCATATTGTATCATTTTTCTATTATTGTATGTCATTGTACCCAATTTAGATATTAAGCTTTATGAGTATCTAGGAATTGGTGCAATCTGTAATGTATGCATTCTCTGGGGATC